AGGCTGGTGTGAAAAATTGCTGCCAAAAGCATGGATAAGTTTCTCAAGGTCCTTTGCGGTGTATGTGATGCTTGGCCTTGGAGATTTGACGCAGTTGGTAAAAACTAGATTTAACTAGAGAGGATAGTTGTTTTTCGAACTTAAAGGACCTGTCAAAAATATTCCAAAGTTGTTAACAGTGCCAGGAAGAAAGGCGGCAAGGGGCCAAGAGTGTCAGCAAATTGGCTCCGGGGAATACGGTTTTCAAACAACACGATTTCCATTTTCTTGTCATTTAATAAACAGCATACTGATGGCGAAATGTCATTATTCAGCCGAAAGTAAATTTTTTATATCATCAGCATAATAGTGAAAGGAGATATTATGCTTTTTGAAGATAGAGTCTAGGGGTAGCTTATACAATGAAAACAACATAGGGCCCAACACAGTTCCCTGGGGCACACCACAGTAGAAGGAAGCAATAAAAGATCAGCATCCACCAATGGTGACGGAGTATGACCTATCCGAAAGATACCATCTAAACCAGTTAAAGGCACTACTCCCTTATGCCAAGTGTATCTTCAAGCCTCGTTGAGAGCATATTATGGTCCACCATATCAAAAGCAGAAGCCATTAGAACTAAATCTGTAGAGCACCGAGTCGGCAAATAAAAGAAGGTCATTAAGGACTCTCAGCAGCGCTGATTCAGTGCTAGGGCATGGTTTAAAGCCAGACTGGAATTTATTGCAGATATTATTTGCATCCAAATAGGCCTGCATCTGCAAGAGGACTATCTTCTCCAATGTTTTGACAAGAACGGAAGTTTGGAAATTGGCCTACAATTTGCAAGGTCCTTAATATCAAGGTTACTTTTTGTAGGATGGGCTGTAATACCGCTTGAAGCCAGCCAGAAGACAGTGATAAATTCATTAAGTATAAGATACTGGGCCCAATTACATCAAAACCATCCTTGACAAAGTGAGATGGGAGGATATCAAATGATTTTTCAGTTGATCAATTATTTGCTTAAGAGTGGGAAGTAACACCAGCACAAACTGATGAAAAGTAGATGGGCACCCTAAGACTACGTCCACACTAGCCCAGACAGATTTGAAAATACCGTTTTTGTCTGAAAATGCTCCGCGTCCCCACCAGCGTTTTCAGTCGTTTTCACAGAGTTGTGCGTCCACATTGAAATGGCCAAAAAAATTACGTTCCAGTACTGAGCATGTGTGAAATCCAAGAAGATTTGACCTGCCTCATTTCTGTCTGCCGTTTATTTACTTTGCGGCTCATTGAAATGTCGGGGAAAGGTTGAGGAAACACCCTGAGTTTTTTTCATGGACTAACAATGAGGTGGAGTTGTTGCTGCAAGTAACACAAAAGTACAAAGTTGCCAAAGCAAGTGAGAATTAAATAATTTGAAGAAAATCTTTCCAGAGCATGTACAAACTGATATTAATCTTTAATAGGGCTGTCAGAATTGAGAGCAAACAAAACAACTGCTGTATAATGCCCTTCGCTATCTTTGTTTAATTGGTCGCATGATTGCATCATATGACTAAAATGTGTCATTGTTTAAGAAAGTCTCCGTTTTCACTGTCCACACTGTGACGCAAATGCGTCTTCAAATGTATTCATTTTCGAGAGCGTTTTCAAAACGCTGCGTTTCTCCTTGGGCAAAACGCCGTCTCAGTGTGGGCGGGAGGCCAAAACGGAGAGAAAATGATGCACTTTAATTTGAAATCGCATTAGTGTGGACATAGCCTAAGATAGGGGCAGGGCTCCTCACTAAGTAGTGTATGGCTTTTAAAGATCTAATTTTGTCTGTGAAGTAATTTAAAAATTCTATACAGAGGGCTGGAGAGGACGCCCACGGGACTTCGGGACAGGGATTGACCAATGAATTAAATATTTTAAATAACATTCGGGGGATGTGAGTGGCAACAATAATATCCAATAGAAAAGCCGCTTTAGCCATTTTAGCAGCATTTTGAAATTCCAAGGGGCTCATACGTAGCATGTGAAGGGAAAACTGGAGCCTATCTTTCTTCCATCTCCTCTCAGCTTGGCGGCAAGCCTGACGTAAGACACATTTAGTGTCATTTGACCAAATTTGGGAGTGAGTTCTGGGACGTTTCCCTTTAACAGGGGCAACAGCATCAAGGATATGAGAGCATGTGGATATCAAAGAATTAGTGTAATCATCAGCCGTAAGAGATATAGAACAATCAGTAACAGATAATGCAGAGTAAATAAAGGCTGCAGAGAATTTAGCCACAGTTTCTGGGTTGATTATACGCGCCAGGTGTCGGGGGCCATCAGAATGCTGATTTAATTTGCATCACATGGAAAATTGTCAGAAATCCCAGTATTGTCAATATTCTTAATACAAAATTCCAGGCCACATGAAATAAAGAAGTCAAGAGTATGGTCTTCATAATGGGTAGGTACATTTGCCCACTGAGACGCGCTAAAAGAATCCATAAGAGCAAGAAAATCCTTGGCTAACAGATCATTTTTGGAGCAGATATGAATATTAAAATCACCAGTAATAAGAGCACAGTCGTAGTTTAACAGAGATCCTAAAAGATCAGAACTTCAAAACTGGGCTAGGTAAGGGAGGGCAGTTGCCGCACTCTAAATTTATGTTTAATGACCTCTACCTCTACCACTCGCCCTGGGTGAACAAAAAAGACACATATGTTTGTGAAGGTTCTCAGTCATCCAGGTCATCGTAGTCTATGGAGCTTGGAAAGAAAAGTGTCTGGACTTCTTTAAGTTGCTTGAAGATGTTTCACCTCTCATCCGAGAAGCTTCTTCAGTTCTAGGGTCAAATGGTGGAGAGTCCCAGATGTCAATTTCAATTCTATTTCAATTTTGCCATTTCTCCTCAACAGTTGCCCATAGTGGACCTCATCACAGCAACAGAAACCGGCATATGGATTAATTAATTATCACAAACAGAAGTAGAGCAAATCAGGATGAAAGTTACAGTCACCCTCTTCAGTGCCAAAGTTCCCCCGTCTAACCTCACAATACAAGAAAAGAAGGCTGTAGCTTTCCTGAGCGAAGACCACAATATCACCGTATTACCAGCTGACAAAAGAAGGTGCACAGTGGTTCTAAACACAACAGATTACCAGAGAAAGATCACTACTCTCCTCAACAATACGTGCGACAACAATACGTGCGAAGCCTTAAAGTGAGACGCCACAAGCAGCTACAAAAAGAAAGTTTTAGCTGGCCTTCAAAACCTTGAAAAGGACAAAATCATTGACCGCCCTTTTTAGACTAAAAAAAACACAGTCCGGAGGGAGTAGCTCGGAGAAGGAGAATGCCTTGCATGCCTTAAGATGAATAAAAATACTTAAGAAAAAAAAATCCTAATTGAGGTTATCATAATTCATGCATGAAAGGGTTAATGTTCCTGCAACTAGACTCCTTGGAGAACCCCTACATAAATGTCCATGTACTATCCAGTTAGACTACTGTGTCTGTCCCTGAAAATATTCCTGCATGTGTGATTGTTTATGTATCATCTGCAGGAAACAAACAGGAAGTGAGTGAAGGACACAGGAAATGATTCCAGCTATTCCTCCTCTATCAGACATTATCTCCATACCTGAGAGTGTCCAGTCTCCAGCCTGGATCCTTCAGTCCAGACGACAGCAGCTTCATTGCTGAGTCACCTGGATGATTGTAGCTCAGGTCCAGCTCTCTCAGACGGGAGGGGTTGGCGCTCAGAGCTGAGGCCAGAGAAGTACAGCCTTCCTCTGTGATCAGACAGCCTGACAGACTGCAGACACACAAAACAACAATCCATCTGTCAACAATCATTTTCTCTTTGTCACAATAACATCCATCCATTTACATCCATTCAATGTAACTTTATTTAAAAATGACATTTCCCAACAGACAACAACAGTCATCTCAAGATGTTTAACAGTGTAACGTAACAGCCTCCAATATTAGAGAGAAAGCCCCAAACATCAGACAATCCACTGTGAGCAGCACTTGGTGATGGTGGGAAGAAGAACTCCCTTTGACACAAAGATCCTCCCAGTGAAAACAGGGTCCAGGAGGAGCATCTACCATGACTGGTTGCAGGGTGAGGGGAAAGAGAAGAGATGAGCTCAGAGAGACAAAAAGAAAACACAAACTAAGGGGACAAAGACAAAAGTTAAGGACATGCAGTTGTGACATCAGGAGTGAAAAGAGGAGAGTGGAGAAGAAAGCAGAGGATCATGGGAAGTCCACCAACAGCCTGAGCCTATAGCAGCGTAACTAAGGGATGGTTCGGGGTCACCTGATCCAGCTCGAACTTTAAGCTTTATCAAAAAGGAAAGTTAGAGGATGATCTTCTAAGTAGAGAGGGTGTCAGTCTCCTGAACTCACACTGGGAGCTGCTTCCACACCAAGTCCAGCATAGCCAGGCATTCTTTGTGTTAGCTGGTTTGACAAAACCAGCTAACACAAAGAAAGCTGGTTTCATATACTAAAGATAAAAAGCGTAGACAAGCAAGCAGAGGAAGGTTTTGGAATCCAAGCTAAAACACACAGAAGGAGATAATCTTAAAAAAACGTTCTAAGGGTAAGAAATTTATGCTCTACGTTCAGCATTAGACTGTCTACTGACTAAAGATACAATAACTAAAATTAGATTTGCTAGGCAAAGGGTCTATGAACATCGTGACAAACCTGGGAAATACTTAGAATACCTGACTAAGAAGAAATTAGACTTTCAGAACATCACTTCAATTAAAGATGTAAATGGAAAACAGTTTTTTGACAACAGCAGTATTAATATTATATTTAGAAAGTTCTATGATGACCTTTATGCATCACAGATTCAGACAAATACAGCAGACCTATTGGATGTATTTTTCGCCCCTCTTAACCTTGCCAAGTTGTCTGAAGACCAGAATCTCAAACTGGACTCTCCCATATAAAAACAGGAGGTATTAGATGCCATTAAATAGCTGAAGGTTGGCAACATAGCGGGACCGGGCTGACAATGTGCCACGTTTTATAAAGAATTTGGAGAAATTTTAGCTGGCCCCCTGTTGAACAATTACAATGACTCCTTTAGCCCCTTCAAGACCTACCTTAGAACCAAGACCGCCAGAGCTTATCTTTCTATTTTTACGTGCTGCAGTGCTTTTTTTGGGAGCATTTCCAGTTGCTATACATCAGTACATCAAAACTGGATTAAGTTACTTTATAACAATCCCTGCTCCGCAGTTTTCACAAATGGGGTGCGGTACTCCAGATACTGAAGGGAACCAGACAAGGTTGTCCCTCTTTGCATTAGCCATAGAGCCACTGGCAGAGGCAGTACAAGCTCAGGCAGACACAAATGGTCTGTCCATAGGACAACGATAGCATAAGATTACTCTGAATTCTGATGATTTACCTGTTGTGTTGACTCGGCCGGAAATGTCAATCCCCTCTCTGGTTGAAACTATTAACCTTTTAAGACCTACCATAGAACCAAGTCCGCCAGAGCTTATATTATACTTTTACATGCTGTAGTGCCATTTTTGGGAGCATTTCAAGTTGCTATTCATCAATACAACCATTCCAGCCTAAATTTAATAATATGTATGCATTAAGTGCATAGTAATTACATAAATTGCAAAAAAGTGCAATAAACTACAAAAAATTGAAAATCATTTTTGTATTTTTAATATATATTTCTAGTTAGAGAAATTTAAGAGGCTTATCCCTCAAAACTGTAAATACAAAAATGTTGCACAAAATAGTTTCCCACCACAGAAAATTTATTTTGAGTGTCTTCACAGTTTTAATTCTGAATAAAAAATAATAATTGCAAATTTGCAAAAAACAGCATGTGCATTAAAATAAACTATTTCCAGCAGTGCAATTTGAGTTCTAAGCATCCCAGAAACAATACAGAAATTCATAAAGTCAAACATAACTTTTAAAAACACCAGTATAGGCTTATAATGCCTCGAAGGTAAAAGAAAACCAATACATTTGGAAAATGATGTCACTTCTGTTTTTGGGCAGGTAATGGCAGATATAAGGAGGTATAAGCTGAGCCCATATGTGTATAGCTGCCGATTGGGTACAACAGCACGCTCCTGTCTGGTTGGATATTGAGAGCTCTATGTCCAAATTCCGTTTGAAAAATTTGCTTTTTGTGGGAAAAGTTAAGACGTTAAAGATGTTCTGTAACAACCCACTCACATTATCTACTTTCAGAGTTTGGCGAATGATTCAAAAACTAGAAGGAAGGTCTCACTTAACATCTCTTTTTACTCCCTCATCTGATTATCCTCTCTTTTTGACTGGGACCACTGACCCTGGCTTTCGGAGCTGGGCTGCGAATGGTATTTCTGCTTTTTCTGACTTAATTGACGGGTCCAACCTTATATCTTTTGACCAGCTAATTAATAAATAAAACATTGATAGGCGCGACTTCTTTAGATGTTTACAAGTAAGGGATCATAACCAAAGAGCTACAAAAATACTTAGTAAACAAACGGTCTTTAACTATGAAAAGCAGATATTTCAGCCAAATCTTGGAACGTCTATGAAAATTTGTTGTGGCCTGTTAAAAGAATTTGGGCTCAAGGACACAACTTATTTAAAGAGGACTTGAGAAAATGAATTACATATAGAGATTAGTGACGAGGCATGGAATGAAGTCTGAGAGAATGCTAAATCTCTGAGCATCTGTAATAAAGTAAACTGTGCCCTCAATGTAAAATAGAAATGGGCAACCTCATGCACTGTCTATGGTCCTGCCGGAAAATGCAACAATTTTGGTTTGTCATAAAGCAGGGGTGGCCAACTCCAGGCCTCGAGAGCTGGCATCCTGCAGGTTTTTGATCTCACCCTGGGTCAACACACCTGAATCAAATGATTAGTTCATTACCAGGCCTCTGGAGAACTTCAAGACATATTGAGGAGATCATTTAGCTATTTGAATCAGCTGTGTTGGATCAAGGACACACCTAAAACCTAAAGGACACTGGCTCTCGAGGCCTGGAGTTGGCCACCCCTGTCATAAAGTGTGAACTGGATAAGATCTTCACCACTGACACTGAATGCAATCCATTGCGCATGCTACTTGGAGTGGAAAATGACAAAATCGGGTGGTAGTTTGGAAAGCAGCTCTATGTACTGTTAATGTTCTTTGCAAGGAAAGGTGTCCTTTTGAACTAGATCTAGAACACAGCCCTATCTAAGACTAAATTGCACCAGACAGTACTGGAATATGTGTCACTAATTTGCTAAAATGCAAGTTACATAGTAGGGACAAAAAGTTTCATAAAATATGGGGACCATTTATGCCGGTTTGGATATTTCTGCTATTTTCTTACGGGCCCTGATAAAATACAAGCACGTCACTGCTATTTTACATATGTGTATCGTTAATTGTATCTCATAATCAAAGTGTCTGGATTTTCTATTCATTTATCTGTATTCTTGAGCTGGGTTGTTTGCTTTGTCTGCTTTGTTCTGTTATGTTGGTTTTGTTTTGTTTAATGATGGTGTCCATGTAAAGTCTAAAACTCAATAAATACATGGAAGAAAAAAAAATGTACCTATACTAATGAGACCTGAAGGGACATCTTCCATGGAGGAAGCAGAGTCTGGTGATGAGGGGAATGATTCATCTCCGGGGGCGACTACGTGGACCATTCTTGGTCCACATAGTCACCATTTTCAGTGGATGATGATCAAGATGTTTCTATTAAGTTACTGTTTATACAGTGATTAGGATCGGGTTTGAAATGATCATCAGTGGACAAACGTAAAGCCTGACCTGAGAGTTTCCATTTTACAGTGTAGACTCTTGACTCCAGCAGACAGAAACTTCACTGAAACCTCCAGATCACAGTTACTCAGGTCCAGCTGTCTCAGACTACAGGAGTGGGAGCTGAGAACTGAGAACAGAGCGTCATAGCCTCTCTCTGAGAACTTGCAGTGACTAAGTCTGAAAATGAAAGATAACCATTAAACAAACATTGTTGCTGAAGTGAACTGAGGGTGCACTGAAAAGTTATTACATGTAACAATACTTAATTCTGTCTTTTCAGGAATCATTCATACCTTACTAAGATACAAGAAAAAATGAGGTTTATTAGCTAAAATACACTGCTGAAAAAAAGAAAAATATACACTTATCAAGATGGTATTCAGTACAGTGGTGGCTCAATTCTGGTAGTTTATGGCAAATGCAAATTGGATTTCACATGCCAGGCAGCGAGGGGAGGGCCCACTAAAGGATATCAGGCCCTCATACCACCATGATGAAGTCTTTTTTATGATTGTTTGCTCAGACTCATTAACACCAGTAGTCTGCTGGAAGTTATTTTATAGCTCTGGTAGTGCTCATTCTTGTTTGTAGAAAAGAGAAGATCAGTTTAAGCTGGTTTTGTCCAAATAAAATTAGCAGGTGCCTTGGAGGGGCAACGATAAGATAACGCCCAAAACAGGGATGGTTTTATGGGTGGAAACCAGTTATATTTTTCCCCTCCTTTCTGACTTTGTTAATGTGCTGGGAGAGACAGTAAACCTTCTGCCAATGCCACATATTGATGTGTCATCCTGGATGAGTTGGTCCAACAGTGCAATGTCAGTGGTGTCCGGGTAGCCTCAGGCTACCAGTATTCACATGGACCCTAATAAACGAATAAAAACAAAAGTCAGAAAGGGTGTGTGTGTGTGTGTGTGTGT